ATGGCTAAGCAGAGCGGTATAATTTACCTTTCTAGAGATGTCTGACAATTATCATTGATGGTTAATTTTCGTTTTCATGGATTCATGAATAAGATTATTATTAACGAAAAGATTTTGTCGAGTTCCATTATTTGCTTGTTGTTTTGAATCATTTTGTCACCGGAGGTTAACAGAACTGACCTGGCAAAGTTATTCCAATTGATGTGCCTCACTCAATTGAAATATGCAGTTGATTTCTTTCGATCATTGCTCACACGGCAAATTAACGATTTTGGAACCGTTTGACCGTGTGTCAACAGAGCTCTTAGAAAAGTTCGTATTCGAGTCAATTTTAGGGTAGCCCTCCAGAGGCAGAGAGTAGGATACACGGATGATGAATTTTTGTTGCAGGCCTGTCGACTGTGAATCGGCATTCGCTTTTAACCACTTTTTCAAACTAGACCAAGTGGTGGATTTCACATGGATTTGGTTATTTTCTGTGTTTGGCGGCTTGAAACTTGGAATGCAGCACGTTTCTGCTACCTTCCAATTGAACTGAGTTTCCAAGGATGCTGTTTATACATGTTCTGGTTGCCAATGCGTACTTTTATCTTCGAAACATCAATCTTTTAAAGTCGTCAAGGTTGCTGTTTCACGCCTTTATGGTCTCGATCTGGAGTCAAATCGAAAATCTCAATGGTTTCGATTCTGAAGCGCAACAGTGTGAAGTTAAACCGAATAACATTGGGACTAAAAGTTAACTAAGAAGCGATTACAGCTAAAGTTGATTATTGCTATTTTACATTAGAATATCGAATCATTCTTCTGCGAAATAGCAAAGAACGAGAACTAAAGTTAGAAAAAAGGGCTTACTCAAAAAATATGCTACCTATCTCTGTAACAAGGGGGTTTGTCAAATAGGCCATGTCATTTTATCAACCGCCTCTGTCTGTTTACACTGACAACCGCAGCCGCAGTTAGCGAAGGACATCCAGAGAACCTGTCTACTGCGAAATGACGAAACTGGTAGGACTCGAGTCTCAGAAACTGAAATTCCATTAAGATTCCAATGCCGCAATGCTCCAAAAATTGATGAGCGGGGTATCCATTTGGTAAACTTTCACAGAACTGTTAACTCCTTACACGAGTGTCCTGACAAAGCAGAACAATGCGTGCCCACTGATCATGTTTGAAAAGATAATTTGCTACAACATTCAAGTTGCCACATGCTATTCTCCGGAAGTCCAGTTGCCCTCGGTTTGCCAATTTCCTCCTCTGTAATGTTGCATTTAATTCAGCACATCGTTCAATATTTCGGTTATAAAGCCGTTACTTTTCCAAAGAAAGTAAACCTACATCTTGCCTTCATTAGGTCAGTGTTGCTGTACCGGATGGAGACAGACGATCTAACAAACGGGCAAGAACGACGGTTAAACTGCATACGATATCGCTGGCTGCAATATATGAGGGATAAATGGCAGGACTATGTAAGGAGTGAATCTACTCTTTTCCTGGAAGAGGAAAGCTCGGTAGATTCGGAGAATAATACAGTCAGGTTGGCCTGTTAGACAAACTAAGCAAGCATGCACGATTTACTCCCGCCTGTGTGTTTCTTATGCAGAAACCGAAACACGGCAGACGTCAATCAGAAGGACAGAGAGCAACATAATAAAGGTAAATCAGCTTTCGGGGAGGAATATGCATTTCCTTCATTGATGAAGCAACCAGTGCATAAGTAACCTTTACGCCTTTCTAACGAAAGCGTTAAAAAATTCTGAATACAGCGGACGTCGTATACTCGATAAGCTTTGATTATGCTGAAGATCAGAGCGATAATCTTAACAAGTATCACACATAACAGTATGTCGAACATAATGAATCAGGGACAGACGAACATGCTACGCTGCAGCAACACAACAGCAGAAAAGTGATCGGCGGGTCAACGAGATTCTCTTAACGTATTGTATACCTGCAAATCTGATGTTGTACTGTAAGGACGTAATTTAGTTTTGGCCGTAAATGACGTTATAGAATATCAGTTAAATAGCAGCTATGCCTACAGTGATACTTTTGGACGCATCACTCGCAATGCTGTGTCCATATGATGATGTGGGAAAAGTTTCCTTCAAGATGTTCGCTACCTCCGCTGTTCACGAACTGGTGGATCGTATATCTGCTGTTCATAGTGGAGAATACATTGCTTTGGTACTTTTACTAAATCGCCAGTCGTTAGCGATGTGATATTTGTTTATATATATGCATGAAGCAAGTCAATTTAACCGTAGTTTTAAATTTCGATGATATGCTTCAGTTAATATGGAGCAGTCGGAAGATCGCGAATTCCAATTCCCATCTGTGTCTGCGGTTAAATCGCAAATTATCGGGGATTAAGGTGTTTAAATCGAAGGTGTGAGAATAGCATATGCTGTAGTTGCATGGTCTATGCCTGACTAACATTGTATTTCTTCACAAGAATCCACGTTGCCGTCCACTGAAGGATGGAGAATTTTGTTCTTGCGTTCGTAGTCATAGCGAAAAATTGAACAGGGCAAAACGGTTTTATTAAATAAATGCGCATCTAATGATTCATTAATACGTTTTGACCAATACATTCTGAATTCTTCAAAGTTAGATTACTGATCATTTTGGGTTGTTTCGCTCTTCTGTACCATATACGTGTTTTTGAGCCAGTAGACTTCCTACTGACGAATTTTTTTTAGAAAAGTGATCATTCTTTTACAGCAGAACTATTTTGTTAGGCTGTCAAAAGTAGCAGAAACAAGGGTAGCTAGGGTACTTATCTCCATTTGGCTGGAGATGTTCGTGTTCGTTGGTCGTTTTGTTAGCTAAACTTCTCAACCTTATCTATCCTTCATTTCACCTACCTGTTACATGTTGCACTTTGATGTGCAATACTAAATGTGTTGTTTGTAATGTCTAACTTCCAGGCGTTATTTAATATACCAGCTTCAGCAAGTTTTAAAATCCGATGCCATAAGTTAGCGGAGTTTGCTTCCTGTAATACTAATTATTATTTTATTGTATGTTATTAAACTAATTACGTGAGTTTTGAGTTTTTTCTTTCTCCAGCCTTATATATTCTTGGTGTTTTCGGTTATTAACGAATTAACTGCTGGGTACAGCTAGTCACTAGGGTCTTTGAGTTTTCTAAAGCAACCTTCAGGTAGTAATTTTTCTGAAAATGTTCTGCAATGGCCTTGTTTGAATTGCGTAGAAAGTGTTTGTTTTAAGTATATGGCCGTACAGAACCATAATAAAATTTTCTGAACATTATGTTGC